CAGACAGACAGACAGACAGATAGATTAGATAGATAGATAGATAGATAGATAGATAGATAGATAGATAGATAGAAGTAATTAGGCAGGCAGATAGATAGATAGATTTCAAATTTGCATTATCCAAACCGGAATACATTTGTAGGACTGAAAGTGTGCAGTAGGAAGGCAATTCTTATGCGCCGAACTCGGAATATCTTGTGTACAGGCTGTTTCAATAGTTTACGGACATCCAAGTGAGTAAAGAAGTGGGCCATGCTTCAAAGAAAACTAAGTATATGTTGCGTCTCGTCACCGGAATACAGGGCAAAATTATGACACAAAGATAGCTAACAGATGTCTCGAAAATGTGGCACAGTTGAAATATTTGGGAACGACTGTAACGACTACGTTTTCGGAGTAAGACTGTCAAGTACAGTCAACATCAGTACAAAGCCTGGAGTCAAGTGGATCTTTACGATCACCATGCGACATACAGGAAATGTTCCAGATCATCTGTTTCTCAGAATATGCCGGCAAACTACGACATTTTGTGATGGTTATAACTTTTAAAGGAAGGCCCCCCCCCAGGGTACACATTCGTATGTACTCTGTGTTTGTTTTATGCCCACAAACCATCATGAAAATATGACATGTATTAATGAGACTTCCTGCGTGTGCTGTTATTTTACACACACAAAAATCAACCCGAACTTCATGCAGAGAACTTTGTGGCTTTACTGGATGGACACGCGCAAAAGAGTAACATTTTGCCGCCAAATTTTAGTGAATAAGTTACCTAGAATTAATTTAAGCCCAATCAAAATGTTATGTGGTGATGTACAGGGACGAACAGACACTGGGTACACTTTGTGTTAAGAGCAGTGACACTGCGTTGTTGATTCAAAGAAGGGATAACAAGTCATGAACATCAGATAACACGGAAAGTTTACAGGTCCTAATCAGCTGAAGCTCTGGTTCAAATGTTTGGAAACTCAGTTCTTTATTCGTCCAGGCCACTTGAAATCTTGCGCAGTAACTGAGCTACGCCGGATCTAAGTGATGAACGTGAAAATGCCTATTGAAGCTCATAGCGTTTCATTGTTCTGTTAAGTATGGGAAGAGCAATTCTATAGGATATTGGTGGGAAAGCCAGATGGAAAGAGACCACTATGAAGATCAAGACGTACGTGGGTAAGTAATATTAAAATGAATCTTAGAGAAATAGGATGGGGTGGTGTGGATTTGATTGATCTGGCTGAGGATAGGGGCCGGTAGAGAGCTCTTGTGAATACGGTAATAAAATTTCGGGTTCTACAAAATCCTGGAAGTTCTTATGTTGCGACACAACTGGCGGCTTGTCAAGAAGGGCTCAGATCCAAGAAGCTAGGTACTTAGTGAGTTAAGTATGGGAAAGAACTGGTACAAAGACACTGCACACACGTTCTCATGTACGTCTGAAGGATCACGTTTTTGAGAAAACTGTCATTTCACTTTTGGATCGCTAGAGGGTGTAACATTATTCTCCTGAACATACCATTTGCCCAGGATTATTTAGGATGTTGGTCTACATAAATTACTAAAATATAACAAAAATCGTTGGAGTTGTTTCTCAGAAAACCTTAGTTCTGATTTTTGACCACATCTGACGGGCCCCTATTTTTTGAGGTATAATGGCCGCCTTCACTGGTCACAGACCTATGGTGAATAAAATCTTGGATATCGAATATGAATAAAATTTGCTCAATCGTTTGGGAAATGGCGAGTAGCATATTCGTACACACACACACAAAGAAAAAGAAAAACAGGGAGAGACAGTCAGACTGCATTCCAAAAACCACTTTTTCGTATTTTCGCAAAACACCCTGTCACAACAATACGGAGATGATATATAGATATTTAAAGTTAGAAGCGCAAACTTTCAAATAAATGGGGCCCATATGAAAGCGTCTGTAAAATTTGAATATTGTTCTTTCTCTTGCTGAAATCTTATCTCTCAAAACAAACAATGATCTTCAACGTTTAAAACTCAAAGTTTTTATATACTTCTTTTTGGAAAGAGAATATGAATTTGCCGATCACAGTGTCCGTGCGGTCTGAGACATGAAAGGATCCGCTCGCTCAAATCATTGGGATCGTGAGTTCGAATCCCACAAGAGGCATGGATGTCTATGTGCGTTTAATCTGTGTTTGTGCTCTCCTGTGTGTAGGTAGAAGCCTTGCGACGGGCTGATCACTCGTCCGAGGAGTCCTGCCGACTGCGTAAAGGATTAAAATTTCATAATTAATTAATTCTGAATGGGAATAAGCTATCAAGGGGGAAGAAGAAAATGGTATTAATTCGGAAAAAAAAAAGATTTCGGACTTTGAAGCTGATCATCCCCAGAATTTACCCTGTTCCACACGACGTTGAAATGGAAAGACTTTCTTTCAGTGCATAAAGAAAACAGTTTGTAAAGACAAAGTGTTACAAGAAGTCGTCCTGATAACAAACGCCTCCCCCCCCCCCCCACAAAATTTCATGTATATACTTTCCTCAACAAATTAACAGACACACANCCCCCCCCCCCGCAATAATTTTCATACAGTTCCTTCTCGTAAAATGTAAGCAGTCAGCCTTGCTCCCATTTACATAACTCGTTCAGCTGCTGCGCGCTGCAAGAAGTTCCGGCCAGTGATAAAAATCTTTTCCCGTAGAGACGGAGAATTTGTCAAGCTGATGACGTCCGTCCACAGACTTGGAGGGATTGTCTGGGATGTGCAGAAATAAAACTTGTGATATATCACCCTAAAATATTCTGCGGTTTCTTTGTACTCCTCAAACAATACATTTGCTCTCTAACCGACTTTATCAACCATTTACAATTGCAACGTCCTACAAAATACTTGCTCGAACTTTCTCCGCATATTTTCAGTTTAACCACCTGGAAAATGAAATTTTTAATGTACCTTAACTAGGAATTTAATGGGAACTTTTATCGGTTATATCTGTGTTCGTATTGTTGACTTCCTCTATTTCCTCCCGTATTGCTTTCAGTATTTCATGTTTTCATGTTTTCTCCAACAAATAACACGCAAAAATAATTGTAAACCTCCTCCTTCGTATGACACTCTAAACTAAACGTACCGGCAATAAACATTACTCACAGATTGGACATGACACACTGAACTAAAAACTATTCGCTCATTCGTGATCAGTTGCATGATTTTTTTTTTATTGTTAGTGGGGTGGGACTAAGTTCCTTGTACTGTGGCCGCTTCTGGCCTATTGTACCAGCTCCAGATGGTAGGTGAGGGTGATTGTGGAGCAATTGGTGGAATGAAGATTGGCAGGGGAAACCGAAGTACTCGGAGAAAACCTGCCCCAGCACCACTTTGTCCACCACAAATCCCACTTGACCAGACCCGCATCGAACCCCGGCCGCCGCGGTGGGAAGCAAACGACTAACCGCTTGAGCTATGGCGCGGCCTAAGATTATAGCTTAGTCAGTCTGTGAAGAGAAGGCTTAGTGGAGTTAGAGGAGTGCTCAGTTGATGGGCGGTGAAGAGAAAACTGGGAGGTTCGTGCAAAATAGCCGCGAGCCGGTTGTAAAAAAGGAAAACATTTGGAAGGGAGCCGCCATTCAGAGAGGACTTGAGCCCGGAAACAGAGGAACAGCCCCTGTTAGAAGCCGTTAGCTGACAACTACTAGTGCGGACATTGCTGATGGGAAAAGAATTATAAAGGTTGGAAATCAGCGATGGCGCTGTAATTAATCCAAAACCACGTCGAGATAACACTCATACTCGTGACAATACTGAAGATTACGATGTTCTAAATTGCAGTAGTTCGCAGACAGCTTAACGTTTCGGAGGAACTTCAGGGTCGAAATGAAGCCATGTAAGGAAACAGCAAAAGTGAAGGGCGAGATGAGATTGGACTACTCTTTTGACCTGAAGATGGAGGCGTCATGTTCAACACGTCAGGCTGTCTCCCGACTACATGTCCTTACAATTCGGATGACCGCGCTGTTCACACCCAAAGCCCTAAGAATAACGAATCGTATATATTGAAAGCGAATCCGATAATGGCCAATGTTTTTTTAATTCGCTTAGTGGAGGGCGGAGTCCAACTGGTCCACTCGGCACGGTGACCACTGATTGGCCTATTGTAGCCTGCCCCAGGTGATTATGATGATGGAGAATTTGGTGGGATGGAGATTGGCAGGTGAAACCGAAGTACTCTGAGAAAACCCGCCCCAGCGCCACTTTGTCCACCACAAATCCCACTTGACCAGACCCTGGATTCTTAACTCAGACATTAAATAAAACCGAGTGCTCAGACCGACGCTCCGGTTAAGTTATAATCGAGAAAAGAGCTTCCAGATGGGTCCAAAGGCATATTTGGAAGAGGTGGCGAAGAGAGGAGACATACTCCTGTCTGGGATCAAACTCCGGGTTTCACTCGTTACTTTCCCGCATATATAATATATATCAATACAAAATATTATTTTACCCCCCCCCCAAAAAAAAACTCTAACGATTTCAATTTCGCCAAATTTTAATATCAGTATTCCCAAATAAAACTGCCCTCGTCGTGTTTTCCACAGAATAAAAACCCGTTCATACTTAAAATTCATACTTTTTTTGTAATCTTTATTTAGAATAACAGTTGGCTGCAGTCCGACAGGCACGTGTGAGAGAGTATATGCAGCGTTTCTTTAGAAATATCTAAATTAGCTAAAATTGCTAACTTCTATCCCCGACTCGTTCCAAATGAAAGTAAAACAGCCGTAATGGACGTAATAGGTTTTCTATGTGTATCACTAAGTATCAGCGTAATTCAGCTTCACGAGAGTCTAGGTATCAGATGAGCATGCGCAAGTTCAGAGGCTTGTTTCAGTAGTCAAAATGGCTACTGTGCCTCAGAGTGTACTATAAAAGAGAAGATTTCTGTTGTGCGTTTTCTTTGTAGGTAAAAGAACTCAATGCAAAGGCTGTTCATAAAGAAATATTTCCTGTTTACGGTGGGAAGTGTTTGTCGCGTAGAGCTGCTCACAACTTGGTTGAGAAATTCTCTCAAGGATGTTTGAAAGTCTCAGATGATGCAACAGTAGCGCGGAAGTGGCTGAGACAACAGTCAAAAGACTGCGGGTTTCGACGCACTGGTAAAGAGATGGGGGAAAAATATATATATCAATGCTGGTGGAGGATATGTCGAGAGATTAAAAGATTTTTTCCAGTTTCCACTTGTTTTATATCCATTTGTGACCTATTTTTACTGACTCTCACTCGTCAAAAGCAGGCGTCGAAAACTCTTACACGAAATGCTGACTGACTGCAATGTGTTGGTTACCTTCACATTTGATATGTTGGGATTTTGGACTTTATCCATCGTCCTCACCTGAGGACGGAAACAGATCCAGTTTTCGAAACGTCGTGTTTTTATTTGTTATCTTAAAAACCAGGACGATGGATAAAGTCCAAAATCCCAACATATCAGTGTGTTATACATCATCGTCAGAATCCTATAGTAACTACCTTCACATTTGCTTGCAACCTGCTGCAGCTGGTGAGGTTCAATCGTCTGCAGAAGGCCACATGTCAGTGCGCAGCTGCTGCTGTAGTCTTCTCGCTTGAACTGGTGGAGTCCGAAGTCCGCCAACTTTACAACCCAGCGGGAGTCCACCAAGCAGTTGGAGGTCTTGAGGTTACCGTGAACTCGCACAGGGGAGTCGTGAAGGTACGTCATGCCCTGCAGAAGAACAGTGTAGCCAATTGCTCGAAACTGAAAACGAATTCTAGTATGTGGAAAATTGAAAAACAGACAGCTCTTGGGCACTTGGAATATGTACATGTTTGTCATGTCACTTCTTCGGCCATGCACCGTACCTACAACATAGCAGAGCAGCGAAAAGCAAGTTATACGAAAGTAATTAAAAATTGTCCCCTTTTTCGTTCCTGTCTGCAGAAGGTACAAGATGGCCTAATAACGGTTCGTAGCACTGAAGCCTGCGTTATCACGTGCTGATATACAGGGTGATTCAGAAAGATGGACACAATTTCAATTGGCTATATTTCCTGAACTACATATTGCATATGAATTCTGTAAAGTACATTTGAAAGAGGATGCTGTAAAGTTTCTAATATTACCGCTAGAGCACTCCAGCACCGCGTCAGTTGTAAGCGAGATGGCTACTATGCAACACAAGAATTTTTTGCATTCGTGAGTTCAGTAAAGGTGAGTGTGCGACTGCGGTGCAGCCTGCATTTCATCGTAAGTTTAACATCCAACCTCCAACGAGGAAGAGCATTTATCGTTGGAATAAACAATTTGATGAAACTGGCTCTCTGTGTAAGGATAAAAGCCGGGGCCGATCGCGTGTATCGGAGAACGTGGGATAAATTCAGCTACCGTCTTGATGTTATCCGTGCAGCCGGAGAGGGGCACATTGAACATCTATAAACTTCCGTATATGTATAATCAAATGTACTTTACAGAATTCAAATGCAACATATAATTCAGGAAATATAGCCAATTGAAATTGTGTCCATCTTTCTGAATCACCCTGTACTTGGACGCAGTGAGCATGCTGCAGTGAAGCAGAAAACATGGCTCCACTACTATCAATTTGCACACAGAAAAACAGAAGGCCGTGATTCGCTTCTGCGGGCAGGTGTTGAAAGGGGTTAAAATTTACACATGCATTTGAATGCACAGCATGGGAACAACGCACTACCTCGACGGAGTGTGTCTGATTGGTCGGACATGTTTAAGAAAGGCGGAACGGGTGTAACTGATTCAGAATCCTAGGGATTCCCGTCAACATCAACAAGCGATGACAAAGAAGAACAAGCCAGATCAGTAACAAATGTAAGGTATTCCGATATGTTACGGAATAAGCAGAGGCCAATGATTCGCACACAAAAAAAAACAAGCAAGAATATTATCGGAATTTGTTCTTGTCTCACCCGGAAATTTTCAATTTCATACTGTTTCGCGGTACTAATGGAAACCTTCGGCAGCTGAAATTTGAAGCTCTCGACAATCCAGAACACAATCCGGGCAGTTTATCTTTCCTTTTCCATCAGTTTCAACCAATAATGAGGAGTTTCGGACGTCATCGTTTTGCATATGATGCCGAGGTTAAGAAAGTGGTGCAAAACTGGCTTCACACTGATTCCCAGTTCTTTTCTAACGCAGTCGGAAACCTTGCTTGTGGACCACTGGACAAGTTCAAAAGCAGGGAGACTATGCATAAAAGTGATACACCTGTAACCTTCCATACTAAACAGTGGGGAAGGATGAATACGTGCTAAAACGTTTTGAATCACCTTCGTAGTTCACTGTACTTTGTGAATTCTTAACACAGCAAGTGACGCATGAGGTCCAGTGAGTCGTGCTGACCTTCCTATCAGCTGTATAAGCAGTGGTGTCACTGATGATGATACTTAGATTCAAGTTAAAAGAAGTTAAAAGAAAGTCAGAAGACCTCACAGCATACCGTGCAGGCATATTAAGCCCTGCGAAGGCGTTGATCGCTTGAAGTTAAAAATCTAGAGACTGGGGTGTGTACGAAAAGAATGCTGAGGAGAATATTACTTTTTTTTTAAATTCGCTTAGTGGGGGGTGGAGTCCAACTGGGTCCATTTGGCACGGCGGCCACTGATTGGTCTATTGGCAGGGTGGCCACTGATTGGCCTATTGTAGCCGGCCCCGGGTGATTATGATGATGGAGAATTTGGTGGAATGAAGATTGGCAGGGGAACCGAAGTACTCGGAGAATACCAGCCCCAGCGCCACTTTGTCCATCACAAATCCCACTTGACCAGATCCGGGACCGAAACCTGGCCACCGCGCTGGGAAGCCAGCGACTAGCCGCTTGACCTATGGCGCGGCCCTATATTCAGGCTTAAGAGGGTGGAAACAACAAGAGGCTTGAGGAAACCGCATAACGAGGAGCTTCATAACTTATACACCTCACCAGACAATATTAGAATATAGAAATCAAGGAAAATGATATGGACAGGGCATGCGTCATGCATGTGAGACTAGGGAAATGCATATAAATATATGCACATATATAATATATAGGAGAACAAGAAGAAAATGGACCATAGGAATACCATAGGGGATACGGACTGGAATCATGAGGTCCAGGATTTGGACCAGTGGCGGGCTCTTGTGGACACAGGAAGCTTCCATAAAATTCTCATATTTTTTTTAATAGAGGAGCAACTGATAGCTTCTCATGTAAGACTCCTGAGATAATTATTAATTGGAAATGATGCGAAAGATATTCTTGGTTGAAGACAACCTCATTTCTTAGTAATGTTTTCTTTTTACAGTTTCAGGGCCCTGCTTGATCATGTTTATCATCTGTGGCGTTGCATTTGCCGAAGTCTTTGCCATTTGAAGAAGTTATGAGTAGGATGTTCGGATAAGTCACGCTGTGGTATGCTTCCAAAGGAACATTTTTTTCTCTGCGTGCGTTGTAGAACGGACGCAGCCACAAAAGAAGGACACATCACAAGACACAATATACACAAAATATAGGAAGAACGACTCCCATAGCGGAAGAATGATATAATACGCGAGTTTGAAATACGAGGTATAAGATGATAAATCTTAACAAATGTTAATATATAAATTTTATTATAGTACATAACAAATATCGGAGAAGTTCATGGAGGTAGGCCTAGGCCCACTGGGGCTGTAGTGCCAAGGGGGGGAAAAAACTGAAAAATATACAGTTTAAATCATTTTATAAACGACACATGATGGCGAACAGTGCAATAGTTTAATGTAAATAACACACCTGAGGATGGCACAGTGATGCCGAAACATGTAGTGAAGTGACAAGTGAGATTGTGTGCACTAGAAGACGGTCAACACATACATATCATGGACAATATTTTTATTCATGACAATATATGAAGTGGTCATGACCTTGACCTGCGAAAAGAAATATTTCCTACTTTAGTAATATAATGGGCCCTGTCCTTTAGTTACTATCACTGGGGAAATAAGTGATGGAGATTGAAACGGTTCGCAGAAGTAGCTTGGATGAGATGGCAAGAAAAATACAAATCTTTGTTAGACAAAATAAAGAAAAAGTATTTTGCTGATTGAAAATAAGTATTGGTATAACAATAAAACGTATTTCAGGGAAATGTGCAGAGTATGGATTTACGCACGACTAATGGCAATGGCAGGGCTATTTTTGTGATATTTGATGAACTTCATGAGTTTGAAACAAAAACAGTGCAATCATGAGTTGCGTACGTATGTGCGGCAGAGGCGCTGGACAGTGAATATCTTTGCAGTGTGCTGTATGTTATTCTACTCACCCTAATAATGTCTCCCACAAGCGAAGCTATGAACATGTTGTCCAGCTTTACGTCTTCGTTCTCAAGAATATCCTGCAAGCAAAACACAAGATTGTAGTACTGTTGAAGCAGCTGATGTATTCCCGGAAAGGGGCAGGGATGTGTTCCTTCGCCACTATATCCAGACTGCCTGAGGGTCTTATGAAGCTCCCCCCCCCCTTCCACCCCCTAGGAAGAAGGAGTGTCTACAGCCTGGAGTCTCCTCCAACAACCGTCGAAGTTGAACTTCTTTGTACGTCTTCATGATGCAGTGGTTGAACATAAGGACAACTTTGCTCAAAAAATCGTGTACTTCGAAGCGGACTGTTGGAACGCATCCACTCAGATTATATTATTATTATTATTATTGCGGATGTCTGCAAACCCATCAAGAGACCGAAACCGTCCAAATCTATTGGACTTGACGATATTACTGGTTTTATAATTAAAGGTTGTTCAGATATTTTTATTCCTATTCTTAGGCATATATTTAATTTGAGCCTAACGCAGCAGTATTTTCCTGCTGCACGGGAAGAATCTGCTGTTGTACCAGTATTTAAAAGAGGCAATCATGTCGCTGTGTGCAACTACAGGCCTATGTCTATTCTCAGTAATTTCTCTAAATTGTTTGAATTCATTATTCATGATCACGTTTCGCATTATGCTAAATTTAATCCAAATGAACATGGCTTTACCAGAACTCAATCTACAGTTATCAATTTTGTGACGTTTCTCGACTTCTTGACGCCGGTTTTCCGCGGTCAGCGTCAAGCTGATGCCGTCTATTTTGATCTAATGCTTTTGACCTCGTCCCTCATAATATGCTCTTATATAAATTAAGCTCCTTCGGATTCTCCGATGCTTATACAGGAAGATCGAAAAGTCGCGCACATCAAACTAAAAGTTGTTATAAATTGTATTGCAGTTAATATAATTATATCTCTTACCGTTAGATGGTACTGTAGGAGTACTAACAACGAGTAGAAACTCCATCTGTCGTGTATCGGTCATACGACGTCTGCAGTATAGCTTTGTTTATTGCGCGACAGACATGTCGTTTTCCCAAGAACGAGTTTTCATTGTGAAACATTATTTTGCCAGTCGTTCTTATGCACGTGTCGCAGACGAGTTTCGTCGGGCACATCCGGATTCTGCAGTTCCTAACAGTTCGACGATAATGAGAATAATCAACCAATTTCGGGAATGTGGATAAGTTTTAGATAGGAAGAGATCCGGGAGACCGGCCATTTTGACTGAGGCTAAACTGGCTGATGTGGAGAAAATGTTGCAGCGTTCCCCTTCAGAAAGCCAGAGGAGACTATCAGCGCACTCAGGGATTTCGTACGGAAGTGCTCAGAGAGCGATGAAGAAGCTACACCTCCATGCATATCGTGTTCGCTGTGTGCAGGAACTGAAGGACCTGGATGGAGAAAAACGCTTATTGTACCGTAGACGGTTCCGGACATTTGTTGTCAACCATGGAATTGAAGAATTTGACGAAGCGTGGTTTCACCTTAGTGGCTACGTGAACAGTCAGAACAATAGGATTTGGTCATCTGACAACCCACATGTGTTACATGAAAAGCCCTTGCACTGTCAGAAAATTGGAGTGTGGTGTGCTGTATCACGTCGAATAGTGGGCCCAATTTTCTTCGAAACGGCAGTGAACAGTCCAGTGTACCAAGACATCATTACACAGTTTATTGCGCTTCTTGAAGTTGATGAACGTGAGTGTTGCTCGCAGCAAGACGGTGCCACATGTCACACATCTAATGAAACCATGCAGTTCCTGCGTGAGCTTTTTGATGATCGTCTCATTTTGAAAGGATTGTGGCCCCCGTGTTTGCCCGATTGTAAATTTTCTGGTCAAGAAAACCGAAATTAACGGCCGTGGGGATTTGTTGTGCTGACTACGCGACGACCTCTATCCCCTACATTTGGCACTAACTTAGACGACAAGCGGCGCTCGCTCGGTCATTATAGTACGCTTCCGGACTAAAAACCGCGGAGTTTGTTTGTTTTTTTATGTAAACTGTCGGCTACAAATTTTTGTGTTATGTAATTCACTTACCAGTATATTCTTATACAGACTTGTAATTGATTTCATCAGTAAAGTAACAGCACATATGCTAGGGTAACATCAGGAAATCTCTCATATAATTTGTCTGCCGGACTGCTCGCTAGACGTCAGCATGCATCCGGAACGTCCTGCGACCGACCATCTCGTCACAGATTCTCTTGGTTTTCCTGCCTTTATGCAAGTGCTGAAACGGTTCCCAAGTTCCAAGTTGATACTGCGTAATTCTCATGGAACCCTCAAAATTCACATTCATCAAAATTAAGTCCCCTTGCTGTCAGAGACAGTAAAATTTATTTTTCAAATTATACAATGGCATTAATTCAGAAAATCAAAATTCCGCGGCCCCTGTCTCAAAGCCATTGCTTGTAACCATCATAACGTCTTCACTTTCGCACTGTCCTTGTTAGAAGGACGAACGGGCGCAGCATGGGAGCCTCCTAGAAAGATGATGCACCTTCTCCCTTCCCACAATAAACTCTCACTTTTCCATTATTTTTCACTATATCTGTTCTTCTGCTATATTCGTTACCTTCTCCCCTCTCTCTCTCTTCGCAGAATTATTTGTTATGAAATAAAATGGTATTTAGCCGTTTAAATTTGGAAAACTGTAGATTTTAAGAGCATATTTAATGCCTAAGCACAGCATCAAGCAGAGGCTTAGAGTCATCTGCAGTAGTAATGGATGTTCATCTATAAAGCCCAGTTTTCAGGCCACCTTTCGCGCCCCCTTGGAGCATCCTGGCAGGCTGGGTATGTCTCAGGTAAGTGACGATGTGACTGCAAGAATTCGACCGTAATTTTCATTAAACCTGCGGAATTAATTGCTTTATTCTGGATTGTGTGTTGAATTAAAAGCAAGTCACAGTGCCTCTGGATGAAATGCTTGTTGTGTAACTTTGTTCCGTGCTAGGGCCGTTCGGAATAATCGTGAAGATTTATGAGCCAACCGACTGGCCTCATGCTTGGGCGCTGGTGGTGGAAAGGGAAGTGCTTTACAATTCTGAATATGCAGGAGGGGGGCAAGGCCATAATTATTCGACTGTTCCAGGAGAGCTGAACTGGATCCTGATCTGAATATATCATCTGAACATAAATTCATGATAATTAAATGAAGATAACATGTCAGGTGGTCCATATTTGACGGCATTTCATCAACTGAGGAATACATTTCGTCAGCATTGCGTATAATTGAATTGAGCGGAGTCCTTAACAGAAACACTGTCGCCCAAACATTCAAGAAAATATTCACACTCACGGAAACCATAAGACAGTAGCTGGTTGAGGCACTATGCTACAAGCCGGAAGGTCGGGGGTTCGAGTCCAGATGTGATGGGCTTATATCAATTTACCTAATCCTTCCAGCCGCACTATGGCCTCTAACAGCAGTACCATGAGTCTTCATGTAGGGTAAAAGGGCGGCCGGCGCGTAAGGCTGACAGTCTTACCGCCATCAGTGAGTCGACTGTCTAGAGAAAATGTGGGAGCCTCGACGTTTCACAAAACTATGGACCTTCATGGCCTGTTGCAGGGATAGCTTTCAAGTTTTCCAGGCCTATAAATTAATTTCTAACTATAACCCTCCCCCAAATTGAAACTAGTTCCAATCTTTTCCTCAACATAATTTCGATTTGTTAATATTCAGAAATATTTAAAATTTTAGAATCTTTCGATGGATTTAATAGATAAATTTATATTGCGGTGTACAGACTCGTTTCTAGGCAACGACCGCGAAACAAACAACACAACAACCGTTGCTAGACAGCAGATGCTCAACAAGCAACAACTGAACTACAGCAGCAGAGGAACCGTTGGAAAAGGAAACAGCTGAGTCCGTGCAAAGGGTTATGTATCGAGGACGCAAGTCGAACTTCTGTCTTCTCATGTGGAGGCGGGATCAAATACCTCCACCGTAGGCCTGCGAGTCATAAGTGGCGACGGAAAGGGAACCCAGTGCCTGGGGTTACAACTGGGACACCTTGATCGTGTGGGATATTAATACGGGGACATGCTCCTCCGGTTTGTGGGAGTCTCAAGTCTGAGACAGTAAACTATGTTCATGAGTCCCGCGGTACTCGGACCTGAGAATGACTGCACTGGCGAGGCCTAGCAGCAATTGTAAAAGACAGACCCATTCTATCGTCAGAGAAGCTGTTATATAAGGACTATAACCGCCAGCGTTCAGTTGCAAAATAAAAATTCTGGTCGTGGGTCTCAAGGGGCTTGTCTCCAAAACGAACTAGTTGGCGGTAAACCGCCAATCGTAAAGTAACTCTGGCTCTGACGCTGACTGAACTATAGTCTAGGATCCTATATTTTCTACGCATCCGACTCAGAGATTGCGGTGTATGAGTGACTAAACACGGAGTTTGGACTGGTAATTGGGTTTATTGAACACTTACTGCTCCTAACTACAAGGAATTATGGCGCTATCGCTATTTCACACACTACAATTCACTACAGCAAGCATTAAGTCTTCTGAGTCTGCTGTATCTTCACCGGTTGTCGCCTGGTAACTATCTCCAAAGCCGTAGCTTCCTCAGCTTCCGTGTTCACGCCCTTGCTTGCTGGCGACTATCTCACAACTAACTCCCAGGCAGGCGGCATTCTCACACCAACCTCCTACTCTTCTGATTGACTGAACTCTCAAGTCAAACACAGAGTCAGAGTAACTTTACGATTAGCGGTTTACCTCAAATAAATTAGTCTTTGCACCAAGCCACTTGAAGATCATAACCAGAGATATCCCCTCGGCACGGACCGAGTAGAAAACACGTCTCCTCCTTGCTGTAGTTCAATTGTTCCCTTGAGAACATATTTGTTTGCGAAGCCGTTTCTCATTAAAGACTGTCGTATATTTCCTTATTCCGCGGTCGTTGCCTAGCAACGGGTCTATATACTATAATACTGTCACGTGTTTCAGTGACTAAGGCGCGGGTTTGGATTGGTGAATCGATTTATTGGATCTTCACCAGTCGTAACTACAATTAGTTCTTACACTCTGAAGATTACTAAACTATAGCACATGTAACGTCACACTTCTAATTTTTCTTCTGGCCACACTACCGTTCCCTTGGAACTTCGGAACCCAAGTGAAGCCAATTCACATCCCCGTATTCTTTCATATCCTCTCGGCACGGACCACGCACAGAAAGCACAGCCGCTATACTGTTGCATGGCGCAGACCACAGGAAATAAGTCATGTGATAACTATCTTGCCAGACCACTAGCGTGCTGACTGTTGCCTAGCAACGAGCTGTAAACATTCGTCCTGTCGCGTGACCTTAAGCGAGAAGGTGTTTACTGTGCCGTTGCTAGCTATACATGTTGTGATACGATAGCCTAACGTGAGCTCTGGTAGCGAGATTCGGACATGTCCTTATTTCCTCTGTGATTACTTCCAGAAACACAAAGATACTGATATAATCTGTTGAAACTGAGCTGCTGTAGAGTGTTGAAATACTCCTTTCGCCTTCGTACCCCTCTTACTCATACTCATGCACTCGCGCACATACGAGTACATGAACATTCATATATAGTTTCGCAGTATGATGGTTTATGTTACATGATTTATTTACGGAGAAAGTGCTTCAGACTGAAGCTTTATGATTCGCCGTGCATACGCGGCAACTTCTGCGACATGGCTGTGACGCGTCGTGTCTAAATGTAGTACGTATTGAGGCGTTGCAAGTTTCCTGGAATGCCTTCTAGCGCTCTGAACTTATAAAGTAGAGGCAGCTGATGAATACGCACAGTTCGGTAACATAAACACCGCAAAACAAGTACAACTTCATAACAACGCTGAATGGGAAACGGATGGACACTTTTCTCGTGAAAACGAAATGTAAATGACGTTAACTGAAGAAAGCAGTCTTCTGGGATTTGGCACCGTGTATATGTGGTGTTAACCGACGTTTCGGAGGAACGTATCGCCTCCATCTTCAGGGTAGAAGAAAAAATATAAGAAATCTGCAAGCGNAAATCTTACATACGACGTTAACTGACCTAGCGTTTCTGCCTGGTACTCTGATACTAACAAGCAGATAGGCCGTGCCACAGCTCAGGCGGTTAGTCGCCGGCTTCCCACAGCGGCGACCCAGGTTCGAGCTCAGGTCAGTTAATGTGGGATTTGTTATGGACAAAGAGGCACTGGGGAAGGTTTTCTTAGAGTACTTCGGTTTCCGCTGCCAATTCTCAGTCTACCAAATACTCCATACTCATATATCATCCTGGGCTGGTACAGTAGACCAACTAGTGGCAGACGTACCAAGTGGACTACAAAGAAGGGGATGAACTTGTTCCTATAAATACTGACCGAAATCAAAGTCGTCTCAATTTTAATTTTCAATTTTAAGTTAATTATAACTGTATGGATTATGATTTCTAACGCGTCTGAAGAGCACTATCTACTGGGATATTGAGTCATGTAGACCACTGAAAGTCAACCTACTTTTCTGAGTATCGCCTCAAACCGATGTAAGAATCCCAATTATGGCAATGTTACTCATGGAAACGTTCGACGGCGCGAGAAGTTACAGATCAATTTTTCATCCTGAAAATGGAGACAATATGTTTCTCAGAAACATCTGTTGGCTTTCAACGGATTACAGGGCATTATATTCTAGAAGATAAAAATTTCATGACTACCGCTGTGAGAACCTCGAATTCTAAAGATATCTGTTCTAATATAAAACGCTGGAGCAAATGTTTGTAAAGATTTTCCATATTGCACACTAGCAGCAAGGAATGCCCCGTCGGCACAGCGATTGAGGCTGCGTGTTAAACGGGCGCGGAATCAGGGTTCGATTCCTGGTAGTTGTAAAATAATTTTCTCTTCCATGGCATCTAAATCGAATCTGGAGCACGCCCAACCTCTTATAAAAAGGACACCCGGCGCTCTTTCCCCGGGGATATAGCGGCAGTAGCCTCAAGCTGACCACCCACCTCCCTATAGTGTCGAATTCAAGAATGGAGGAGCTATATCTCCACTCAACCATATGTCTTCTTGGCGGGGTGTTTAAGTAATTAAGTGTAGGAACAACTTTGTTTTTATCTTCAAGTATACAAATGTCTTATCTTACAGCGTAGCAAAAATAATTGAAGGACCAGAAATTTTAATCCGCGATTAATAATCTATGTGCTACAGATCTCCCGACGATGTTCTCCCTGTTCTTAACTAATTAAGCACTACGCCATGAAAGTATATGGAGGAGTGGATGTATAGATCCATATTTCCTTGACCTCGGCATTAGCTGGAAGTGAGTGGTCAACTTCACACTCCGGCCGCTTTATTCCAGGAGAAAAGCTCCCGGTACCCATTGGATAAGAAGTTGGGTGGACCCAGAGCTGGTATGGACGACGTGGAGAAGAGAAACTTAGTGACAGTACCGGGACTCGAACCCCGACCCCCTCAGACGTCCAGCCTGTAACCAGTCGCTATACCAACTGCGTTATCCCGGGTCCTTCATTTTCCACGGTACTTATGAGAAATTTGTGCGCATGAGCACAACAATAATCGTGGGTCTCACCTTGAGGCTGCCCCTGGGGCAGTACTCTGTTACAACACAGATGTTTGGTGGGTCGGTGCAGGCTCCTATGAAGGCGTTCAGGTTGTCGTGGCGCAAATCTCTCATCTGTAAATAAGTCACAATAAGAATAAATCTTTTTATCATATGACACGAGCCTAAACCATCCATATCCAACCCCCACAACTATCTCCCCGAGATCAATCTTAATGTTACCATTTCATCTTTTCCTTTGTCTCCCAATGGCACCATTTCGTGCGATTCCGAGACCCTCGTAAAATATCGTACCCTAATAGTTAATAATATTGTCACGCGTACGAAGTGACTATTGACGGGGTTTAGATTGGTAATCGGATTTATTGAAAACTTGTAGAACTAACTACAAATAACCACGACAGTCTCTCTGAGTTACACAATCCAAAGATCATGTTAACTACAACACACATAAAGTATTCTCAGCCTTCACTAGCCGTTGCTTGGTAGCGGCTTCCAACGATGCACGTTCCCTTTCCTCTGGTTTCCCGAACTGACCTCTATCGTTGTGCACGTGCCTGTTGCGGCCATCACGTAAAGACTACTGAGCCACTGAGTAGCAAAGACTTGTTTACAGAGCCGTTCCCTAGCAAAGTTTGTCTGTGCTGGCTTCACAATTCGTGATTTCGCAGACAAGTCACAATACTAACAGCACCATCAGTTACAGCAAACTAGCGTCACACCTGTTCAGAATTCAACGACAAGTCTCATTCCTTAATCGTATATAATATTTCTTCCTATTAGCTTTCTCTGCTTTCTCCCATATTCCTTCTCAGTCTTACTGTAATCAAACGGTAAGTCAGTCCCGACGTTTAAAGCTGTCTCCCTCTAATAACACACTCAAATAGTCGATCGTAAATCGTTTCCTATTTAGTATAAATTTCGCTTCACATATCCACATCAAAATATCAACAGTAATGCAGGAACAGCCTCCCTCAGGACTACCGCCTTATCGTGGGGAGGAGGTCTGCGCGCCTCAGTGACCCGGGGAGATATGCTGGCGGGAGAGCACGTTCCTAGTAGGGCCACCGATGCCAGAAAAATCAAAGTTCAGGGGCCTGACGAATTGTAGTTAATACTCATCCACTGTCTCTGTTAGAGGGTTTTTAATGACGTCATCAGTTGCTCAGAGTATACAACTTCGAACAGTAGAATGGTTGTGATGTGAAAAATATATGGAAGGAATCCATCGTGCCTTAATTGAGTTATACTCCTGGCATTTGCCTTGGAGGTACTCAGGAAAGCAGAACTCATGATATTCGGTGTCCCTGTCGAGGCTCGAAACAAAGGCGACCCGAAAGCAACTGGGGTTAACTTGAACTTACTTGCTCAGGATTACCAACACTACCGCTTTAATAATATTATCACGTATCCTGGTGACGAGACAAGTAACTACTGAGTTTCAGATTAGATTAATCGATTTATCGGATATTCACCAGGCGGAACTACAATTGGTTGTAAAACTTCGTTAGCTACGAACAATAATAACCCTCTAAAGGTTACTGTAACTGCACCACATAAACTAAGACTTCACTTCTGACTTCTGTTTGTTTTCAGTCTTCTGTTGGTCAGTTCTCTCCCTAAGGTAGGTTCTGGTCGAACCATATGCAGATCACCACCTTCAGCAGTAGCTTTATCGCGTTCTTCTCTGTTACTGTGCTTAGGGGGTTCGTTGCCGTGTGAACGGGAACGTTTCTGTAAGCGGTGCCTAGGAATCGACATGATTATGTATGCAATGCATTGCTTCTTCAGTCGTTTTCGTTGCTGTGGAAATGTGTTCCAACAGTTCGCCGTCCAGTAGCGGCGCCTTCCGTGTTGCCATGGAAACGTGCTCAGCGTAGCCCCGCCCAGCATATGGGAAGAATGCAGCTTTCAGGCGTCATGTTACAAAACAAGTATTATTATGATACTAAGTAACTAACTAACCAACTAACTGACTCCACAGAGCTGAGACCTTCTTGAGAAGCCGCCAGTCGCGTAGCTATTCAAGTAATTCCCAATTTTTTATGGAACCCCAAGGTTTATTAACGTGCTGAAAACAGCCCTCCACTGGTCCCTATCCTGAACCAGATCAATCCAGTCCATACTACCGCATCCTATTTTAGATCCATTTTAATATTATCCACCCACGTACGTCTTGGTGGCTTTCCCACCAATATCCTATACGCATTCCTCTTCTCTCCACTTTCGTGTTACATGCCCTGTCCATCTCATCCTCATTCATTTAATCATTCTAATTATACATTGCGAAAAGTACAACATTAATAATAATAGGGCCAGAGACTACGAAGATAGGGAAGAATAAGAAAAGAGTAAGTAATAAAGATCAAGAGAAGACAAAGAAGAATGCGGAGGAGAGAGAGAGGAGGACGACAAAAAAGCAGAAACATGTAATACTTTATGCGTATCTCTGAGATCACATTCCTTGCTTTGGTATGAACGGAATGTAATAACATTACAGCGCTATGGACAAGCTCAAGCAGCCTCCGGTAAATCCTCTGGGGGGAGGGAGACAGACGGGAGCAGTTGCTACGGCTAATTGGGAGGACGATTAGTGGAAATATTTGTAACTCAGCGCGGGTTTAATTAATAAAACCTTCAATATATATGAAGAGTGATGTAACGGCGAAATAAAGATCTCTGAAATAACGCGATTGCTGGTAGCCATAACAACGAAATCTAGAGCCTTAACATATTGCACGGAAGTTATTCTGTGGGTGACCCAGAAGCTAGCAGGCTTATCCTGTCTATTTTATGAATATTTAAAATATTTTGATGTGGATAAGTGAAGTGTACCTTACGAAGGAGGCGGTTTAAAACTGATTATTTGCGCTAAACGGCGTTAAAATTTGACCTCGATGTATCAATCGATAATATTTAAAGTGGAAAGGAATATGAAAACTTATATATCAAATGATGGGGCTTACGTTGAATTTCCGAAAGATGTTACGTTGTATTTTTATATCTGCAGCTAATGTAGACTTTCTGACAATACCTCGGGCTTCATATCATACTGAACAATGACGTGGGAGTAGAGGGGCGTGGCCTAATTTAATGCACCAACCAAACATTTGCCTGGAGGTACGGAGCAGAGCCGTGAGAGAGTTCAGTCGGATTTGCTATTGTCCCAGCTGAGACACGAACTGGAACCTTCCCGATTAGGACTAAGAATCGTGGCCGATTGAGCCGACTTGATCAGTGGGGATTCTTAAAATATGCTAAACTGGAAGGATTCATTCGTTTATTTGAGGTTTTACTAATACGCCTTGCTGTACCCTGCCTTGCTATATTGTCGTGATCTTAGTGACAATAGAAGACTTGGGCTGATGATCGAATTTATTGCACACTTATATTCGTACAACTCGTAAAAACAAGTAAGACTTATGTTCTCATTGTTCTAAACACTTCACAAATCGCTATAGGAAAAAGTAGGTCTTCTCAGTCTGTTACAGTAATCACTAGCTGTTGCTTGGTGGCGGCTTCAACGGCGGACGTTCCCCTCTGGGTTCTCGAAGCTACCAGCTTCTAATAGCAACAGCTCGCAGCAACTGAACCCCAGCCCTTATCTAACGAACTGTTTTCCTTTTATTGCTAGTGGGGTGGGACTAAGTCCCTTGCAAAGTCAGAGTCAGAGTCAGAGTCAGATCAGAGTAACTTTACGACTGGCTGTTACCGCCAACCAGTTCGTCTTGGCGTCAGGCCCCTTGAAGACCACGACCAGAGATTCTTTCTTACCAACTGAATTCTTGCGGTAATAACCCTTATAGAGTATCCTCTCTGAAGATAAGATTGGTTGTCTCTACACTTGGCTTTTCGTCAAGTGTATATTTCGCACACATATCTTGTTATTGAAAATTCTTCCTTTTGCACTATACACAGGTCCTCCGTCAGTACAGGCTTTGCAGAACAGATCATACCTAACATACATATCTTATGCTACAACGGCAGCTTAATCATTTGAACGGTCGTAAGCTTGACCATAGCCAAGTTTAAGTGTCCTATATTTTTAACGAAGGCACTATTAACTAGTCCTGCTTATAATATCTCGGCACGGATCGCATGGAAAACACCGTTCCTTTGTTGCTGTCATTGTTAGTTTCGTGTCTGTTTGGTTTCCGACGTGATCGGTACTCAGCCATTGTATAGCAACGGCCGTTGTTTGCATGGCCATTATTAAGCAACGGCTCTTATATAATTTCTTATTTCGAGGTCGTTACCTAGCAACGGGACTTACTTACTTACTCATGGAGCTGAGCCTTTCTGGAGGAGCCGCCAATTCTGCAGCTACTGAAGAATTTCTCATCATTTTATGGGACCCGAAGGTTCATTACCGTGTTCACAAGAGCCCTCCACTGGTCCCAATCCTGAACCACATCTATCCAATCCTTACCATCCCATCCTATCCCTCTAAGATCCATTCTAATATTGTCCACCGACCTACGCCTTGTTTTTCCTTGCGGTCTCTTTCCTTCTGGCTTTCCCACCAATATCCTATGCGCATTCCTCGTCTCCCCCATTTGTGCTACATGACCTGCTCACCTCGTCTTCAAAATAATTTACAACTCTAAATCCATTATCATTACTAATGTCATGCAAACTCTCATTCCCAATTGTTGGTTTGAAAATGTCTTCCCTCCCTACTTTGGCATTGAAATCTCCTAACAAAATTTTCATAGGGTACTTCGGGAATTTACCAAATACAGGTTCTAGTTCTTCATGGAGTCTATCCTTTATTGTCATCAGTCTTATCTTCTGTTGGGGCGTGAGCATTCATAATAATGATATCACACCAGCGATTTTTTAGTATTATATATGATATCCTATCACCAACGAACTCCACCCTATTAACTGCTGATACGGTTCTCTTATGTACGAAAAAAAACCTGTACCTAATTCATGATTTTCATTTCCTTCTCCATAGAGGAATGTATAGTCTCCTGCTGGTGCGATGCCACCTCCAACCCATCTAACCTCCTGTACTCCCGCTAAATCTAACTTATATTTTAAGATTTCTTCTGCCACTGCCCTGAACGAACCTGCCCTATACAAACTTCGTACATTCGAAGTACCGAATCTCATATCCATTTTCATTAGCTTAAGTCGTTTATCCAAGGAATCAGTCCAGGTCCGAGGCTTTGTGTCCATTTTCGTAACAAAATGATTTTCTTTAGGGTGAGGAGTTGTTAGCCCCACGCCCAACCACAAGCTGGAGGGCCATCCCTTGTCGGCTGTCCGCGACTGCTTATTCAATATATTCGCAGCTACCCTCCATACCTGGAGGACGTCTCCTCCATCCGCAACCTGAGGACGCGCCATGCCGTTGTAACAGGGACTACATGTGACAATATTATCAAATATTATCATTAGTATTTAATTTATTACTGTAAGGGCGAAACAATCGAAGGAAGTCTTTTCACTTGGACTGCAGCATATGACCTTTGCTTAGCAGTCGTACAAGTAATTATTCTAACTTAGCATTAAGTATATTTCCTGAAAAATAAGGCGCGACGTCACATGTGAGCTGCCTCTTTTTGACAAATCTTGCAATTACCATACAGATCGATTTATGCATTAGATCGCTTTATGCATTAGATCGCAGTTGTTTTTCTAGGAACGAAATCGAGGTGAATGTCTCATCAATAAGTCAAATAATGAAGAATATGGCCTTCTGGTTTGTAGCGTCGTGCAGTTCGGAAATATCCAAACGTTTCGGAGGAACATATTCCCTCCATTTTCAGAGTTGAAATGAGGGGAAGGAAGAAACGAACAGGAAACAGGCTGTAGCAGAGCTCTTTTTCTTGTTGATTTCTGGCTTGACTTGGCTTAGTCTTAAAAGATGCAGATGAGCGTTTTTATGTTCCTCCGAAACGGTAGAATTTTTGCGAACTTTACGGCGCTACAAGTCAGGAAACCACACTGTTCACAGACACCGCTATCAGAACCTCAAGTCCAGCAAACCCGTACGTTGCCATAGCAAGGAAACAGGAGTGACAAAAGTCAGGATAGGAAAAGTAAACCCAATGTATGGAACAACAATGAAACAATCGTAGAGTACGAATATGGGGGAATACCAAAATTGCAAGAACGATAAGATTGCAAAACTGGGCGGGAGGAACTGAAACTCACCATCTTGAGTTCCTTTTTCATATCCCTGGTGATGTCCACAGATTTCTTCCCCACTTTCTTTATGGCGAAGATGCGGCCCTTGTAGATACCAATCTGTGTGTAGATAGTGGAATAGCGGAAGTCGGCATCCGGGTTCGAACTCAGGGACACTTGACTCGTCCGTATCAGCGGTTGTATTGCCTGAAATTGGAAGCATAAGAAGACATTAGTCCAACTAACTAACTAACTAACTAACTAACTAACTAACTAACTAACTTTATTGAGCTGAGACCTTCTAGAGAAGCCGCTAGTTGTGCAGCTACTCAAGAATTTCCCAACAATCTATTAAATCCAAAAGTTTACTACTGTGTTCACAAGAGCCCTCCCATGATCCCTGTCCTGTTCTAGAACAATCCAGTCCATACCACCTCATCCTATTTCTCTAAGATCCATTTTAATATTATCCATCCACCTATATCTTGGTCTTCCTAGTGGTCTCTTTCCTTCTGGTTTTCCCACCAATATTCTGTATGCATTCATCTTCTCTCCATTCGTGCTACATGTCCTGCCTATCTCATCTACCTTTACTTGATCATTTCAATTATACTTGACCAAGAGTACAAGTTATGAAGCTCCTCATTATGTAGTTTCCTCCAACCTCCCGTCACTTCATCCCTTTTTGGTCCAAATATTCTCCTCAGCACCCTGTTTCCAAACACCCTCAGTTTATGTTCCTCTCCCAATGTCGGAGACCAAGTTTAACACACATATAGAACCACAGGCAGAATTATATATCTGTATATTCTAGTTTCTACGTTTTATAGACGGCGGACGAGAAGACAAAGGGCACTGAACTGAATGGCAGCAAGCATTGCCCGAATTCAGACTGAGTCTGCCAATTAAATTCAGCCAATCTTATGGACAGAGAGTTGGACTGACGGACACACAGAACAGTTACCGCGCTGTCATATGAAAGCATTTCTTTACAGTTCCTCGTCCAAAGAGAAATTGTCCGTGTGCTTAATTAATAAGCGCTGTGGGATGAAAACATAGGGGGAGTGGAGGTATAGATCCACTATTCTTGATCTCGCCACTAGATTGAGGTGAGTGAACAGTTTACACCACGGTCACTTTGCCACAGGAGTAATCACCCCATTATCCACTGGACAGGATGTTGGGTAATCCCCGATGTAACATAAAATATCCCAGAAATTTCGGTTGCAAAAATTGGGCCGAAGATTTCTTTGTAAAATTTTATGAGATATTTTGTATCCTCTGTACTGGAGCCTATACATACAGATTATATCTATTTTTGGAGCCAGGATAGTTCAATCGGTACAACGATGAGTTACGGGCTGGACGAATGAAAATCACTGTTCAATTCCCGGCTGAGGCGAGAGATTTTTTCTTCTTCATAGCGTATCTACCGGCAATGGGACCCATCCAGCCTTCTATTAAAATGTTTGCCGGGGGAATTTTTCTTAGGGGGAAAAACGGTCGGGGCTTGAAACTGACCAATCACCTTCATTTAGTACCTAGATTAAGAAGACACGGATCTATACCTCCACTCACCCGCTTGCCTTAAGAATGTTTAATTAAGCACACGGACAACTTTACTTTTTACTTCACTTTGACATATACGTATTTGAAAAGTTTCTTGGCATCACGACCAACAACTACAAAGACCCTAAAGCAGGACTCACAACAAAGCATCCAGCAGCAAGCTACGGGCGGTACGCATATCAAATGGCCCCAAAATTCATAAGAAAAACATCGAACAAATTTTCAGTTTGTGAATGTGTCTTTGAATGAAGTGGAGAAATGTGAGAACACGACAGGAGAGGTTGGACACCTGCGGGCATGCTCAATTTAAATCAATTTTCAGAAATGTCCTGCTTTAAGTAACCACAGATATTACAGCCGTAGAGGTGTGGATACATCTCTATAACTTGCACACAATCAGTTGTCCTCCAACTGCTTGTTCAAGCAGGTTCGCTGGCTAGAGCTGCAGAAACATCAAGCAACGAGAAACAAGACTCGCTACGCGAAGAGGCCAATAACTTCTTTACAAATTACGTGTACATTTTCAGGACATTTATAATTGTGATATCACGGCCGTTCCTGCATTTTTCATTAATATAACCTCCGTGCATAAGAGCGATGCATGTCTGTAGTTCTGTGTTGCGTGTTGCTATTTGCTCTGACTTGAATCTTGCCTGACACCAGGGCCCGCTACTCCATTCAGTTCGGAACGATTTTTAACTGTATCTCATCACACAAATAATTTCATTTGTTCGACCTTAATATTACTCTCACATCTTCTATTCGATCAATCCAAATGCCAGGTTACAGTTACAGGAGATAGTCCTCAATAATACTGTTACATATACACTCACTGCTAGGCAACGTGTTGGTAAACACACCCCGCGACGACAGATCCTTGATAAACAGTCTGTTGTTAGGTCACGCAACAATAGAGGAAGTTGTGTTTTCCATGTCAGCCGTGATGTCATAACAGTGGAGAGTGATCACATGATATGTGTTTTTGTAGATCCGACTGATGCGTCAATAGGCTGGCTGGATAGCGATCACGTGATATGTGTTTACTATAGGTCCATGTCCGTTCCTGTGTTACATAAGTAAAGCTGTTACAAGTTACGAACAATAGTGGCAGAAGCACGCGAACAAGCAGGTAAGGAATTAGCCACGGAAAATTATTTTATTTATGTGTAATATATGGAGTGTGTGATTCAGTGAGACTGTTATAGTTCCCGTGAAAACGAATACAGATATACTGAAGGGATTAGTGTGGGAGTCATTGTACATTGTATAAAGCAGTAATAGTGTTATAGTTCATTGTATTTACGACCTATAAGTGTTCAATAAATCCAGTTACCAATCCAAACCCGCGTCTTAGTCGCTGTAACACATGACAATATTCTTCAAACATTTCTTATCTTCTTAAATGTAGTTGCATGTCCAGCCAATCATAGTGTCTACATGTAACAATTCTTACAGCATAATGTGAACTGTGTGACGCACGAAACTCCTCATTAAGCATCATTCCGAATTTCTCGCTTAGGTCTGCCTCATTCTTCGTAGGTTTTTAAATTATCCTGAGCACATTGTGTTCAGAAATGTGTAACCTAATGACCTTTTCTCAAACTAGGATACCTCCTTTCACATCCAGTCCGCTTTTTCGATGGGAGGAATATGAGACGTAGAGTTCAGAAAAAGATTTCGAATTACAAATGTTCAATTTCATCAGCCATCAGACGCTAGTGTAACACAAGAGTACGTTGTATGTCATTTCTTATACAAGATTTCGTACAATTATGTTCCCCTTTTTTCCCCATGTCACAGTCCTGTATGTTGTTGAATGATGCGTCGAGGTAGCTGCCATCTGCCATCTGCCACGAATACACGCACAAATAGTCAATAGAAAATCGTCTCCATCATACAGAAAATTACGCTTCACATAACCACATCAAAATAATATCATTTCTCGCAGATTAGACACGATACACTGAATAAGTGACTGCTTTGTGATTGCCTACTGCATGTCTTACGTCGACGCTTGACAATTGTTATTATGCCAAGCCGAAATTGCATTATCTCAGACTTCTCATCTCACATAACTTTTATATATATTTTACATGTTTATGTTTTTCCTTTGTATGACATTACGTGGACAATTGAGTTTTCGTGGAAAGTTTAAGGCGGTCACATGTATGAATAAAATATACAAAAACTGATACCGTATTTACGCATGTATAGGCCGCGTGCGTGTATAGGCCGCAGCACAATTTTCAGACAGAAATTATAGAAAAAATAATTTTCTTGGAATATTATTTCAGGAGTAGAACACCCTGTATTACTAATTATGAATATAATTTTTTTTAAATGAAGTGTGATTTCGAATATAAGCCGCACCCCAGTTTTCCTCTTGAATTTTTGGCAAAAAATGTGCGGCCTATACATGCGTAAATACAGTACATTATTTGGATCTAATGCCCTCACGAAGGAGTCTATGACGACACTGTCTGTTTTTCGTAGGTTATTTAACAGGGCCAAGCAGAGTAACCGGGAGGACTAAGGCATGAACAGATTTTGCCCGCTCGAACGCTGGGATTGTGGGTTCGAATCCTACTCGAGGCATGGATGTCTGTGTTTGTGATGCCATATGTGTAGGTTGCGGCTTTTGCGACGGGTTGATCACTCATCCAAGGAGTCCTATCGGCTGTGTACAGATAAAGAAATTGAAAAAGCGGCCAGGGTTCACAAGGGCTGTGGAGCCATAGGCAGACAGACAGATACTTAACAGTTTCAACATCGAGACAATATGGCGTCCAATGTTAGGACGACAGATGAATGAACTGGAAAATATTCCGAAGACAGAGGCCGTGACCTACGCTAGGTACTATTATTGTGCCTCCCCCTTGTGACATGTTTATTATTGTGCAAGCGGGGGTGACGCACCCAAATTTCTTATTCTAATCCCGACACTGTCACTAATTTTGTCGTGTCATACAATTGTAAAATCCAGATTCTTATTAAAGCCCAGCCAATTGCAACCAGTTAGACATCTGTGGATAGTTCCTACCCCGTCCAGTGAACTAACTATTACGAATACCCCAATAAACACTCAACATGTGAAAACAAAAACAAATATAATCAAATCAACAAGTACATAAATACAATCATAACATTTACACTCCTTTAACTAAATTGTTTTAAACACACACAATACAAACCAAATTTCATATCCTAATCAGTGAAGCAGAAATTACATAGTAATAAATAATTAGTGGACCGAACACAGGCGAGTACAAGCTTACAAAAGGGGATGAAAATCTCCTTCCTACCACACGATTTCCAGAGTCGACTGCTCCGAACGACTCCTAAAGACAGAGAGCTAGCGGCTTCTCCTACCGCTTCCCCTAAAATTCAACATCATGAAAATTCTATTCACCCCAAATCATAAAATCGGCAAATTCATACTGGCCGGTAACCTGCCGTGCCAAAGCGAGGCTTGCCTCTGTGTCGTTCGCCCGATTTGTCATCATTCTCTACAAACTATACAACTGAAGCCGGACGCCTGAGGAATGTGCTACGTCTAAAGGTGGTTTCCGTCTGACCAAACTGTGGTTCACGTAACGTTTTTCAATTTACAAAACTTATAATAAATTTCTAATAAATTAAACCTAAGATCGCCCCCCCACCACCGTTAAATGAAATCCACGAAAGACCTCAGTCCGTACAACCGCTGCCAAGATCGCAATCCGAATACAAGTCTGAAACATGAAGACTAGATCAACCCGTTGGGTGACGCCGTTAAATCTGGTAGAAGTTTAATGATGTTTCGGAGGAATATATTGCCTTCATCTTCAGCAACCGGTACCTTACTTCTTGATTCGCTTGCATGGTTCATTGTTCCACCCTGAAAATGAAGGCAATACGTTCCTACTAATTTTCCGTGAACCTCTACGAGACTACACGGGGTCACTGTTCTGCCGAAGTAAAGCCAGAATCGTTTGGAGGTTACCCTGGTGATCTTGGTGCTGAGAGAGGCGTTGCTGTGCGGCTGCTGGTCCTCGTTAATCTGGATGTCCCTGTAGTCCACCTTCCAGAGCAGACTATCCAGCTCCTGTTCGTAACGCCAGTTGCGGTAAAGAACCAACAGTACCACGGCGAGGAACAGCATGAGCCCGCCCGCCACGCCGGCAGCTATCTCCCCCGTGTGCGCTACACCAAAAGCACAGACACTGATTAGCAATGTTGCACTGCAATGCAATGTGACGTGAAGCAAAGCGATGCAATGAAGAAAGCAGTCTTCTGGGATTTGGCACCGTGTATATGTGGTGTTAACCGACGTTTCGGAGGAACGTATCACCTGTCTGCTTTTACCGGTTCTCACGGTCTCTTCGCTTGCAGATTTCTTATATTTTTTCTTCTACCCTGAAGATGGAGGCCATACGTTCCTCCGAAACGTCGGTTAACACCACATACACACGGTGCCAAATCCCAGAAGACTGCTTTCTTCATAGTCACCGCCGTGAAAGCCTCAAATCTTACAAAGTGGTGCAATGTTATGTTATGTAATATGAAAAATAAATGGAAAATTTAGTGATATAAGCAGTGCTGATGGAAATAGAGCATGTACTCAATTGCGCACACCATATCCATTTTTCATATTTCAATCCGGATTATCCGACATTTGGATTAGATATAACTGGATTAGCGAATGTTTACTATACTACAAACAATACAACATAATTGAAAATAGGGTCATCAGGATAAGCGACATGTTCATGGGCACATTCGGATGGGTGACCGCACAGGGATTCCACCCTCCCGTATCAATCTGACAACTGGTATAGGGTATCTGCTGCGCATGCTCATTCATCATGTCGACCCTGATGATGCAGACGGAAGAGATTATCTGATACGCTGGATTTCAACTCAACATTCAAACGGCTGATCTCCCGAGAAGATGTTAGGGCGAGAATTTAACTGACTTGTCAAATAAATTAACTAAAGAACTAAGTAACCAATTGAATTCAACTCGCATATTCTGTGGGTGGTTTTATTATGCTGCTAATCTCTAGAAAACTTGGCGCTGAACGATGTATGAGCTGAAATATAGATTGGAATGATTTGAAATTGCGGTAAAAGACCGCCATTTTCAAGATAAAATGATCAAAATGACGAATAATTTGAGTTTTCCGGCCGAAATTCGGATCAAGGTCCTCCAGTCCCTTCTGTTCGCCATAACATGCCGAATAAGGAAACAAGTTATTAAATAGTTATACAGTCAAGTAATATGAAATTCGCCAAACAATTAACATGCTGAATCGTGAATGCCCTTTGCTGGGTAACAGTCATGGCTGGGTGACGTGAACACATTCATGCGGAAACGGTTACCATACGAGAATGAACGGTGTTGCCTACGCGGTCCGTGCCGAGGATTAATCTTGAAGACAATTTAGGCGATAAAGTAGTGGAAATTTTACAGACAGTTCTGTAAGGGAGGCTGGAAGATAGGACCTGAGTGCGTGAAAATAAACGATCTCCATTGTTAGAAGCCGTTGCCAAGAAACGTCTAGTGAAGGCATTGCGGGCTTGAGAAGACTTAGCTTATGGTGATTTGTAAGTGTGGACCAGCAATAGCGTTGTAATTCCTTGTAGTTCCGAGTCTTGTGTATAAGTGGTCAATAAATCAGACCACCAATCCCAACCAAGTCGGTGGTCAACCCCGAATCGTGACAATACTAACAGAGATGCTAAGTATCGAATCAACTGCAGCCAATCCTCAATAATTAAGATCAGAATAAATTGGTTGTCGTAATAGAGACGATCTTCTTGAGCGTCACGAAACCAGAACAGCGATCCCAAAATGAACTTCAGAGTACAGCAACACGTTCCACAAGAGAAAGCCGCTTAAAACTTATGGTGCCATAAATCCCTAAATAGTATATAAATTTGCGCGGCTCCTCTCCGGAACTTTGTTTGTCAGCAAAGAGTGCAGTTCTGCACACTGTTGCAGGTCCCTATCAGGCTGTACGTTGTCAGCAGTAACGTAAATGGCTTTACAGCCTCTCTATACCTACAGTAGGCTATAAAATGTTCCTGTACAGGCACGAAAAGTGCAGTTCTGTCCACTATTGCAGGTCCCTGTCGGGCTGTACGGTGTCAGAAGTAACGTAAACAGCTTCACAGCCTCTCTACACCTACAGTAAGCTATAAAATGTTTCTGTACAAGCACGAATAGCGCAGTTCTGCGCACTGTTGCAAGTCCCTCTAAGGCTGTAAGCATTTGGGTCTTGTTATAAACGGTTCGTTATGTTTATTCCATTTTAATCCAGACAGAATTACGTCGACAGATTAGAGCAAATCGTCACGAAAATATATCCAGTTTGAGCCGGTTTGTTTCTTGCGGATAGATATGTAGAGACAGACAGACAGACAGTACATGACGAAGATGTTGCCTTTTGCAATGTTTGTGAATGCGCCTGAAACTCGGGTTATATCATAGATGGTTAAATCCAGGGAGACCATAATAAATGTACATTATTTACGCTGAGACATGTCCTTCTAAAGAACAGACTACAAATTGGAGAATTATTCCATCAGCACCGAACAGGGCGCTCCAGTCAGGCTGATATCCACGCATACAAACGAGGTTAAAAGAAACCCATTAGCTGGTCACCTGCACACATTGGTACTTCATTTCAGCATATGACGTCACTTCAATAGCGCAGAAGCAGAATTCTGTACACTAATCATTTTGCCTCAAGTAAAAATATATATATACATGCATTCATATCGAATACAATTAATATTTTAATAATTGAGGATGTGTCACTGGAAAATAAGTCCAACAGAAAGAGTTTTGGCTCCAAATACATCAGTGTATCTATAGACAACCTTAGCAGCCGAAGCGAATCAAGCAGAAGGGTGAATTTTACTTCAAGACCCGACATTGAAAGCAGTAAAATCTGAGATAATCGGGGACCAACAGTTTCCAAAGAAAGTATACAACAATAATAATAATAATAATAATAATAATAATAATAATAATAATAATAATAATAACAACAACAACAACAATATAATGTATTTATGGTCGTAACCACTTCTGACAAAAAATGTCACGCATCCGGGCTTCCGCCTAATACTAACGGGTTCTGGGTTGGATGAATGGATTTATTGGCACGTCTTTACAATTAAAATCAATTATAACAGCTCACAATCAGTGACTGTCCCTTCCACTATGACGAATGACGAATGAGGAACCTCTCCCGAATAAGTTTTGCTGAGCCTTCTCACGTGTCCTCCCTCTACAACTTCGTGAGAACCGAATAGAGACCCCCACCTCGAACATTTTGTTGTCATTCTGTTATTACATATTTGTGTTTTGTCCGTTGCTATGAAAAGTGCCTAGCAACCTGCTACTAAGCAACGGACGTACTACTGTTGACTGCGTAACCTCGGAAATGTGTTCATCGAACCGTTGTTTAGCAACGGTCACATTCGTCACAATAATTATAATAATAACAATAATAGTAAATGTATTTACCCTTATATCTCAGCCGGTATAGCGACGGGGTACTGATTGAACAACCGGGATTCGACTCCCTGCAGGGGATTTTCTCTACATTACAGCTTTCAGACCTGTCCGGGTGCACACTAAGCCTCCTATACAATGAAAACCGGGGGATTTTTCATTGGGGGTTAAAGGAGCTAGGGCGTCAAGCCGACCACTCACCTCGAACTAATGCCAGGGCCAGGAACGGTGGAGCTACAACTCATTTCTCCCCTCACCTTTTCATGGCGCGGTGCTTAATTAATTGAGCAAAAAGAAAGCTTTATTTTCTATTTACGTGTTAACTTACAAATCTACAGCCCAATTAAAGAACAAGCATGAACAGAAAATAAAACAAAAAACGCACAAATATATAGAAAAAATGTACTACTACTACTACTACTACTAATAATAATAATGAATGTAGCTAAGTATATGACGAAGCACTTTATTTGTCGTCTGTTCTGCTACTCTGTCAGTACCTAAACGTCATAGCGTCGGATGGTACGTTGAAGGATGAAAGATGAATTGAAAAGGATTACGAAAGAAATGAACGTGGCCTAATTGGGATACTATACTGGCATTTGCATGGAGGGACTGAGTAAAACCAAAAATGTTCTCAGTCGTGAGAGGCTGCTTACCGGCCAAAATTCGAACCGAACACTTCCAGAATACAAGTTTAACTCTTCACCCCATACGCTAGCCTTCTCTGTCATATACGTTAAACAATAGCAATAATAAAAAATATTTGGAGACAAAATATAAAACGAGTATGGAAGAGAGAAAATGCCAATAATAAACGGCAAAATCATTGTTATGGAAGTAAAGAAAGTAAAAAGGAGGAGGAGCACACTTAACACGAGTACGCTGCCCCCCAACGTTTCTGTGTCTGTATATAGGGCAGCGCAGGGTGGAAGTGCGACTTTCAGAACAGCCCTTACGTCTCGAGGCCATGTAACAGCAGTACACCTGTCTCGTATCTGCCAAGAGATCAACCGGTATCAGAGCAACGGTCGTCATGGCAACGGCTTCATATCCATGCCTTAACTGATCTCTTCAGAGCAGACAGAAGAATCTGATACTCTGTACAGCCGTAAATGGGGAGGAACTGGGGCCAGCAATGTGCGGCCTGGCCCGGCTCACTACGCTGGAGTAGCTTGGTGCTGTGGGTTGCGGCGAGGCAGGGGCAATTTTCGCCTAATTATACCAGTCTCTAAAGGAAAGTATAAAGACGTAGGAAGCACCCTGCTTGCTGTTCATTCCTGCTGGTTGCCTGCTTAACTTACTATTTCACCCTGAAGATGGAAACAGTTAAGTTCATCCAAAATGTTGTGCTCTTACCCGATTACACGGCCCCACTTTCCAGGAGACACTACCGTGACAACATCAGATTGAGAGACCAAGTACACCCCAAACATTAAGCGGGAGTGCCAACTGCCTGATTGAGATGTCCCATGTTCTAGAGATACCAGCTTGAAATCTCGGTATGGTTATCGACTACGTTAACTGAGGTTTACAAAAACTTTCCCGAATCTCTCTAGCCAAAACACGGGACAAGAGAATTAAATAATCCAGAGTCAGAGTCAATAAAAATTACTTTACACTCTACGACTGGCGGTTTACCGTCAATCAGTTCGTCTTGGCGTCAAGTCCCTTCAGA